GTGATCAATCTCTCAAACGGGCGATCATGATGGCTTTATAGTGAGATGACACATCATTCTCGTCGCCTCTCATGAGCCCCTTATAAATATACTGATACATAATCCCTCAAGCATGAGATTTTAGAAAGGGATAAGTAATTTAATGTTATTTCCTTCATTTGAGAGCAATTTAAATGAAATTTTAAGTTGAGAATTTAGACAAATCTTAAATTGAGTTCCTCTGACAAGACTCTAGTTTAGTCCCTTAGACGAGACTTTAGTTAAGACCCTTAGGCGAGACTCTAGTTGAGTCTCTCTAGTGAGGACTTAGTTGAGTCCTTCTGACGAGACTTTATTTGAGTCCCTTAGGCGAGACTCTAGTCTAGTCACTCTAGCAAAACTTTAGTTGAGGCTCTACGACAAGACTTTAATTGAGTTCCACGGGCAAAACTTTAGTAGTTCATCGGGAGAGACTCTAATTAAGTCTCTCAAAGGGTGATTCCCTCAAGCATTGCTTGTAGTGTGTTTAATTTTATGTATTATATACGTTATTCATATTTTCTCCCTTTGTAGGAAAGTTTGTAACCACACCTTTTAAGAGATTTTGTTTAATGACTATGTTTACGCCTTTGGCAATTTGTTTATGAAATTCTTTGTAGGCGTCTAGGAAACTCAATGTTTTGTAACCTGACCTCAATCAGGTGATCTATATTGGGTTAAAGGTATATATCTTTAGGACATGCAATGTTAAGGTAAGTGAAGTCGACACACATGCGTCATTTGTTTGATGTCTTCCTTACCAAGGCCATGTTAGCCAGCCAAAAAGAGTATTTTACCTATGTTATGAAACCGATGCTTGTCAGCTTCTGCAATTCTTCATCAATAACCGCTAATTTTTCCTCGTCCATCTTGCATTTCCTCTGAGATACTGGCATGATAACAAGATCAATGGAGAAATGATGTCACACCAGTCTAGTATCTACGACTGTCATATTTAAGGTCGCCTAGGCAAACAAGTCGATGTTCCTCTTGACCATGACGACCAACTCATACTCTTTAGATTTCGATAGAGAGGTGCCCAACTTAATTGAAAGTGTAGTCACAGTATCATATGGTATCGCTTATTTGTTTTGATATTTTTTTGTCAATTTAAATATAGTTGTTTTAGTTTATTTGTGTATTTGTAATTTGCCTCTCATTTAATATTTGTGTGCTTGTACGTTATTCGTATTTCATTTGTTTTGTAATCACTTTATCTATTATGTGTTGTACCAATAAGAAATCTATTTTCTCAATTAAATAAGACTATTTTAATCCATGATATTATTTATTTTTAAGCTTAGCAAGTTACTACTTTGTCGTTTTATCAGGCGTGACTTGAATCACAAGTTAGAACTCTTAAATTTGGATTTTCAATTGCTTTATTCGAATTAAGTGCAAAACATGATTCGAATTAGAACCTGTGTATGAAACATGGGAATTACCTATGAACTGCTTGATCCAAATCACAAAATAAACATGATTTGAATCATAATCTCGTGGAATCCGAATCAAGTGTAAAGATTGATTTGAATCAACTGTCTTCATGAAGCCATATTTGAGCTCTGCTCAAATTAATTTGAATTAGAATTTCTTCTTGATTCAAATCAAAGCTTCACAAGACCCATTTTTTATCCTTAATTCGAATAATTATTTCTTTTATGAAAGTAATAAGTGAGTGAAACATATGAGTAAAACCCATAGAGACAAATATGTATTTTTGTCTTCCTTTCTTAATGTGTTCATACCCATAACAGTGAATATTTCTCTTATTCTTTATAATAACTTCTTGAGAGTAATTAATGTCATATTCACTTCCTTTTGTTGCATTTTGTTATTGTTTTTAGTGAATTAGAGAGAGCAAGTTGATTAATCTTGTGTGTTCACCGTGATTGATTAAGTTCATGATAACGATTAGGAACCAAGACCCATTTACTCAAAAATTTGAGAGAACCTTGTGTGTGTGTTCTTAATTCAAATCCATCTAATTCCTTTACAAACACCTTATGCTTTTAGAATGGTTTGTGAGATATTCTGAAATTGTTCATCATCTTCATCCTTAGTCTTTTCAATTTTCGAGGACCTTCATCTCTAAATATTGAGTGATTGAAGGAGACTACTGGTAAATGAGGGTATCTAATGTTTTTGTGTGAAGTTACCTATTTGTAACAGGTGCAAGTATCATTTCTTGAATGCAATTTGGTATTCTTTATCATTGATCAAGAATGGAGTTTCTCAATATACTCCAAGGAAGTCTTTAGCGAGATCAAGTATCAACGGTCCGTAAGGCGGAGTTGGAAGTTGTCATTCTTTGGTGGCGTTGGAGAAAGGTTGCTTGTAGACAAAGTTGGGAGTTGTCTAATAAATGCTCAGTTAATGGCAATTACATATACAAGAAATTAGTGAGATCATGGGGATCGCCACACATGAATACTTAAATCAGGTTATTGTGGATAGCGAGTTTATTAGACCAAGATCTTTTAAGTTCTTGTTTTTGTTAGCAATTTAAGTGTCTGCATCAACAGAGGGAATTATCGTGTAATCGTTCATTATAACCAAAATTCTTGTACCAAACTTATCAATTTAGTGGAACATCATGGTTATTTCTATTGGTTAATTAACACCATTGAAGAGTGGAGTAGGCAAAGCAAGGTCGGACGTCGAACCTCTATATATCTTTTTGTATATTTTTTTCTTCCCTTTAAACTCATGTATTTTACTAGCATCCATTAATATCGTTATTGCATAATATATTTAAGAGTTACATTGATTGTATGCCATATATGATAGATTTTGCTTATAGGGATTTAACGTATAAGCTTGGTTCCGTGGTGTATAAATCTTATAAAATTATGAATCCAATTAGGGCTTAATGGAATATCTATGTGAAATTTTTTTAAACTGCTTTGCTTAAAATATTTCTGGTTGTCTTGTGATTGACTTGCATTAGAAGCAATCGAGCCCTTAGTAACATCTTGTACTATTTCACTTGGTTTAATGCATTGAAATGCTTCTAAGCTCTCTTGTTTTTGTATTCTGCTTTCACGCTTTTTAAAATCTTTGATTTTGTTTATGGGACCTAAAATGTTTTTGAAATTGTGTTAAGGTAAAAGAGTCTATTCAACCTCCTTATAGAACTCTTCGTATCCATATTCTCACCCAACAATTGGCACCAGAGTTGGGTTTTTGATCAAAGTCTTACGACTCCAAAAGTTGAGAATATGGTTCCTCCGATCCTAGACGAGTTTTTCTAATCGTTTTGAAAGCTTATGCATTTTAATGAATTCCAACGAATCTACATTGACTTACTAATGCTTGATTAATCGTTGCATGCATTACATAGATTAACTTAAAGTAAAACTCTACTAATCTTCGGTCAGAGTGACCTTTCATTCTCCACACCCAGTATAGGTCCTAACTTGCTACATTGACGTCACATATGTTTGGATGAGGGGCAGAGTCCAGGAAGAGAAGTTCCTTCCTCATTTATAAGCTGCTCTGATAACATTCCTGGGCAATCTCATAACCTCTTCCAAATTACACTGACTAGCCCATCAAGTAATGAGTATTTGAGGCTCAAATGAAGGGTGGTCAAGACTTCCCTAGTGAGTTGTGCACGTGTGTCCAAGGATGACGTTGTAAGGAGATAAAACGTCCACCACGAGTTACTTCACTTTAATCGTTTTGACACTTGCCTCTGAGCTGAAAATCGTTTTAAGCGTTACATGGCCCTTTACTTGCACCTGTTCGTCTGAAAGGCCAATTAGAGAACCTTAGATTGCTCCGATGCTGTTGGGTTCGAGTTGAACCCTTTGGAAGATGCTTAAGAGTAAGACATCTACTGAGTTACCATGGGGGATCAACACTCAATTCACATCTCAATTATCACACTAAACTGTAACGACAACGAGGTCATTGTTGTTGGGAAGAAAACCAACACTGTCTTCATTCGAGGTTCCTGTTTTATCCTCGTGATTCTGATATCGTCAGTAGGTATGATGTTTATTGTAAAAATCTGTTGAGCGTACTTTCTACGGGAGGAATTGGATTCTTTCCCGTTGACGAAACCCCCGACAATGACGTTGATAGTGATCTCGGAGCTTTGCTTAAACATCATCGTGAGAAGATGGTGAAAGCAACAATGAGTGTGAACCATGTTAGTTTTATCGGCTCCAAAGTGGGAGCCAAATGTACTAACTAAAAGCATAATATGCGACAACCCCTATCGATCAAGGGTTGTCTGTGGCTTTAGGGTATGTTGTGAGGATTATAGCTAACTCACATAAAGGGGGTGGGGGGGGGGGGGGGTTGAGGAACTCTATGTATGCAGTTTTTGTGTGAATATGTGACTCTCCCCTTTCAACTTTCAGGATTGAAATATATTTTAGTTGTACTTAGCCTGAATGTTAGGCCCCTTAGAAATAACAACTACCATAAAAAGGACGTGAAAGTGGATACTTAATCCCATGTTATTTAAAAAGTTGTGATTAACTTTTTTATGACTTCATTTACGTCAGAACAAATCATGGACACGTCACTTTTCCATTCTCTCGCATTAGGCCAATCATTTTAAAAATAAACGACATATTTAATAAATGGACGACCTATCAAATAAACAAGTGATATGGGCAATCAAGAAGGTTTTATGGCGAGAAGGTTTTATACTTCTTAGAAATATATATATATATATATATATATATATATATATATATATATATATATATATATATATATATATATATATATATATATATATATATATATATATATATATATATATATATATTTTTTTTTTTTTTTTTTTCAGTAACAAAAGTAAAAGATTGTATAAAGTTGAATAAAATAATAATAAAAATCATATCACTCACATCACATGTGATAACAACAGTAGATTATAGTAGCGAAACAAAAGCCTAACTTCTCATTTCGGAGTCCCAAATCCTGAAACCCTAATAACATAGGAATCGCAGCACTTTGAAGAAATGAGTATTCAGAAATTGAGCTTCGAAGAATCACGATCACTCTACTCCCTCATCAGGCAAGATCAGCGTCCACTCCATGAAATCCTCTCCGAGTTCAAATCCACCGTCCCTCACACTCGCCATTTCACTTTCTGTTCATACCTCGTCATGATCCTGCAGGTAAATCTCTCTTCAACTTCGACAATCGCCATTAGGGTTTTACAAGTGTTTAGTTTTCTTATCGCTATCAAGGTTTTACATAAAGGGTTTTAATTTACAGTAGCGTAATTGTGGTGGGTTTTAATTCACCCATCACCCATTTGAGAAAAATTGCGTTCAAGTGTGACCCCAATTGCAATCAAGGTTTTAAAAGGCGGTCATGTTACTGTTTTGGCTGGAACTTGATATTGGGAAAATCAAGACCAAATGTGACCTCAACTGCAGTTGTGTTGTGGTCGCAGAAGCATGTCAAATACTCCCTCTCCCCTGCAAAAGTTATTGCATTTCCCACGATAATTGTAGTATTTGACCATTTCATGTAGATTGATAAAATATGATTAATGAATAAAAAAATGTTAGATTTTACTAATCTAGCTTATTAACTATTGATGGCTTTTCATTAATCCAAACAATTGGAAAATAGTAAATTGGGAGTGTATATTGTATTTATTAGAGTATTGGAATCCAAAAGGGACTATCTGCATACATATTACTTTTTTAATTACAAATGTGGCAATTATTATGGGAAAAAGAAAGTTATTGTGGCTCACACTGTATGCAATTCAAGTAATATTGGGCTGGGTTTTCCACGGATTGAAACAATATTGAGTTAAAATAATGTGGTTTTGGTGTTTTTTGTCGATATTTTTATGTGTTTCTTTGTTTTTTTTTACTTCTATGCGATTGAAGATGTTGTAAAATGTTTTTAATTGGAATCTTTAAGTGCAGGACAATAAGGTACTTAACACTACTGAGCGATTAATAGCCTTTTCTCTGCTAGTTGAGGCTTATTCATCCCAAAATCCGGCTTCAAACCCCTTCATAAGCTTTATCATAAATGTAAGCAACTTTTTGCATTGCTATTTTTCTGTCCAATTTTTAATTTGTTGTGCACGACATGGGTTGTCTAAATCTTAGAAATTAGAACCAGTTATGAAATTAAAGGAAGAAGAAAAGAGTGAAGTGCAAAGGGAAGATAATATACTTTCATGAAGACACATTGGAGAGACGAAGAAAAGATGGGCAAACATCTTAACTATAGTGCTAAGTCACTGAGGCACGTGTTTGAAGTATTGGAATAAGGAGGTTGATGAGGAGTTTTGGACATTAGAGATGCTCTGTTTGAGAATGTGTGTGAATGTCTGGATAGATGGGCTTTACTAACTCATGCTAAGCTGGAACTACTTGAGAGTATGCAATCTCTAAATAAGTTATATTCACAAATTTGGAGAAAGTTTACCGAGTATATCATATGGCGAATGTACTGAGCTAATAAGATTTTTCACTTTGAGGCATGAAACTTTACGAGTTTATGGTTAAGATCTGCATTTTGACAACCGTGCTGTTGAGAAAAATGTAGTAAATGGAAGATAAAAGGGAGAGAAAGGCACTGTTGAAATTTCAATTTCCATAGAGTAAAGTAGTCTTTGGTATTTGATGATGTAGCCAATCTTGCTAACTAAATTCAATGGTTGATGTAGTTCTTTTGACTGGTTTTTTATTTATTTCTATCTACACGCTTTAAAATATTTTTTGAATACTTCTAATGTATTTTTGCGTTGTTTTTGCACTGTGATTGTTGAGACAAGGGTAATTTGTTGTTTTCAGGCTTCCTGTCACGAAGGGTCCAAAAAAGTTGAGAAAGCATTTATTCTGCAACTATTAGGTGTTGATGGCTTCCATAATGGCAAAGAGGTCATATTCTATTTATTGTCGTGAAAACACCAGTGATATACATTGTTGTTTCTTATCACTTATGATGTATGAGGAGATTTGTAGGCATTTTTATTAGGCATGTAGGCAAAGAAGGATTGATAAAGGTGTGTGCGCTTTGTTTTCTGTAACTTGGGTGCATTTAGTTGGAAAATGGAAATTTAAATTAGAAGATGCATGTTTAGTAAATAATTTTTTGAAGGGTTTATTAATTATTACTGCCTCATGTATAAGAGACTGTTAGTTTGATTGTTCAAATATTTTCCATTCAGCTAGTTTATTTGTGTCATTTGTTTGTTGTGGTTCTTATCCACTCCGAAATGAACACCTTGATCAAAGGTATCCATCTTATTACACATTAAGTTTTGTTTTAGATAAAAAAAATTGTGCCTCATAACTCATTTATAAGAGATTGCTGGTTTGATTCTTCTAATATATTTCCTTTCAGTTAGTTTATTTGTCTCATTTGTTTGTTGTGTTTTTTATCCTGTCCGAAAAAAGTACCTTGACTAAAGCGATCCTCTTATAATTATTAGCCATTAAATTTAGTTTTAGATGAAAAATTTGTTTGTAGGATGTTTGTTTTTGCTTAAACATAGTATTAGATTGTTTCATGCATTAGACTCTAATTTTTGTTTCACCTTTAACATATATAACTAGTTTCATGTGTGGATCAGTTATACATGGCATCATGTGTTTGCTATTGGTGCACACACTATGCTTCCTTTCTTGTGAATTTTTGTTAAATGTTTATCTTCTAGTGGTCTGTAGTTTCTGATATGTTTTTTTTCCCTGGAGGACTGCAGTTTCTCAAACAATCGGCATCAGATTATGTGACAAAATTTGATTTGTCATTGCATGTAAGTTACTTATATATGGCAAAGTGCTTGTACATATTCCATAATATATCTATTTCCCTTCCGTTATATCTAAATACTCCGAGATGCATTGCTGCTTTTCCAAGGGCGTGTTCTTCTCTTGCTTCTAAAATTTTGGAGTTATATGTTTATTTATCTTTTATGATGCCAGGAGTTCCCTACACTAGATCAGTTGAAGCAGCAGTTTTCTGACAAAGTTCATCAAGAACCATATCATCATTTATTTAACGATGGTTTTATAAAAAATGTAGTTCCTGACCCGGACATTCCCCCAAATTGTGATACAGATTCATCAGAGTATGACCCTATTGCAGTGGATAGATGAATTTATGAAGCATATGTTTTCATACTTAGAATGAAAAATCGTATACTATGTGGTTTATAATAATGAGGGTCTATTAATAGGTTTGATCTGCGACCTGGAACACAGCCTAAACTTGGCACCGGAAATAAAGGTGAAGCAGTGGTTGGCTTATTGTCAAATCTTTCACTGGAAGGGTTAAGTCCTCACTGGATTAGGCCTCATCCACCAAGGCTCCCGATACTTGATGGCGAGGTATTGCATATTTGTGTCCGCAATGTTTTTATTTTTATTTTTGAGGCGTAATAAACACATATATACATGCATATGTAAATAAATTATTCTAACTATTTATACTTTTCAGCTAGTTTGGGTCAACCCTAATGGCAAACCCTTTCCATCTGCGGTAAACCCTTTTCAGCTTGTTGGGGCCAACCCTAATGACCACCGTGAGCTTATTTGGGACTATGGTATGTGTGTTGATACTAGTAGAGGGGCTGCAGTAAGGGACTTAATTGCAAAAGCTCTAAAGGGAGCTCTTGCACCTGTACAGCAAGAGGTGATTATCATTTTAAACTATTGTATTATTATTATTATTATATATTATATTATATATGATATAAGAATAAATTATTCAAAAAAGAAGAGAGAACATCAAAAGAGCAAAGAGACCCAATGTCTGCATAGCTATTGAGGAACTTGTGTATACACCATATAAAAGCCAAACTCTCTTCAAATTGTTTGCTGAACCAATGAACCATCCTTAAAATGAGTTGCCAAATGAACCCAATCATAGTGTGGACTGCACAGCCATCAAAATTTACCCTCTATACTTGGACCAAAACCACCAAAGGTGGTTTACATGAATCAGTCCATGGACTCGCACACCACAGCAACATAGTTACCATAACAGACTAACAGTCTGCCATATTTGGCTTCGTCTAAAATGTATTCACTTGTATTTGTGCCATCTCAACGATTGAAGAGGAAATAAAGGTGTATATTACCAAATCCATGATTTGTTTTCATGAAATTTATTATATTACTAGTTGTTGATTTTCTTGAAATTTCTTACGTTCTACATCTGAAGTGTTATCTCACTGAGGTAGCCAAATCTGTCTATGCCAGAATGACTAATGATTTGGCAGCTGAGAAATATAGGGAATAGACACGAAACTGATTCTGAACATCCACCAAACATAACACACATTTAAAGAAAATATTACACTTGTATCCTGCAACGTTGTTTGTGTAAAGATGAGATTGTAAGATAGTTCTCTGATTGATTTGTAAGGAGAACATTGTTTCTCGTTTCAGTTGGGTTCCCAAGGAGAGTTTTCTTTTAATATCGTATAATATTGATGATATGCCGTACAGATTTCTTAGTGCAATTCGAAACATGTAATATGAAAAGTTATATTTGTACCTTAGTTCTTTTATCACATCTTCATTGAAGAATAAGATGGTTTTCATTTATGCCCCCAATTCAGCAAGTCCTTATGGAGGTTGCAAAGGATCCAAAGGTTTTATATCACTGTGGACTGACACCAAGGAAGTTGCCGGTACGTGTTTTTGTAATCATTTTGAGAATCATTGGGCAAATTAGGTTTTGATGTTTTGTCCTCATTTATTCTCTATCAGGAACTGGTGGAAAACAATCCTCTAATTGCAGTCGAAATTCTCACTAATCTGATAAAATCTCCCGACTTATCAGCAGAGTATGCATTTTACCTCATATATCTGTCTGTCTTTTGCTAATACTCAATCACTATTATTTTCTTTATTTCTATTTGCTTATTATGGATACAGATACTTTACAGTACTTGTCAATATGGACATGAGTCTACACTCAATGGAAGTTGTGAACAGGCTTACAACAGCAGTTGAACTGCCGTCCGAATTCATTCACATGTACATAACTAATTGTATATCATCTTGTGTGAACATCAAGGTACTTCACTTTGCCTTTTGCTCTATTATGTTTTATCCCTTTATGAAATGGCCAATGTTAGTAGTTAGTTGTTACTTTTGTTTGAGGGGAGAGTTGAATCCATGACCTCCTTATCACTCCAGTCCCTATGTTCCTCCCTCAAACCACTAAACCATCTTATAACTCTCATTTGCTGTAAAATGTAGCACATTTACAATTCTGATTGAAGGGCTGTCTGAGTGTCCTACTCCCGTGAACAGGCCAGACACTCCATTCGAGTGTTGGGAGATAAAATGTTTTTGAAGGCTCCTAACATGTTTATGATAGGACTCTGGCGCCTAGTTGATCCTTTCAATCGGCTTGCCATAAAAAAGTGATATGACTAGTTCCAAATTTTCCTTTTATTTCTATTGAAGATCAACTAGGGGGTGAAGGGCCTTCAAATTGATCAAATCAGGTCCTTTTTAGCCTTTTGGTAGTAGATGGGTCAGGAATTAGTTGAAGGCATCAGATTAAATCACTGACTCCGACAGTTCCTTATAGCTTCTTGATTAAACCAATGACTCCGGCACGGACACCTTACACGATACACAACACAGACACTGCCAATGAAAAAAGTAGAGATGGCAAAATGGATGGATTGGATGGATATGGATTGGATTGTTAATGGATGGATCAAAACAACCCATTAGTCCATTATCAATCCAATAAAATTTTCTTTAAATTATCCAATCCGATCCACCCTTAGTAAAAAGCATAAGACACTGACACCACTACACATTTATTAATTAATTTATTGCATTTCAATAAAATATTAATTATTTATTAATGATCTAAATTGATAATCAAAATATATACTCATGAGCACCTAGATTGGGCAATTCATTTATCCATCTTTAACCCTTGTAGATGTGTCTGAAATGTCTTCTAAAAAAAGTATATGAAGTGTGTCAAAGCAAAGTAAAAATAAATTTTGTTGGGATACTTGTCTATGTTTTCTGACACTTGTCATATGAGTCATACAAGTGATACGAGTGTTGGATACTGATCCAAGAAGTGTTGAAGCAAAGGATACAATATTTTTTGAGTCACTTGTCTGAGTTATCCGTCATGTGTCGTGCGAGTGTTGTACCAGTGTCGCTTGTCAGAAATCGCGCCACCCCTCATATTAGAGGTGTCCATGTTTCTTAGATTGAAGGTGAAACACGGTTCAATAGTTCATCTTGTTTTAAAATGCCCCCTTAGTCTCAAAATAACCAACCTATTTGAAAAGAAAATTGTCCCAAAATAATTGACCCATTTCAATTTTCAATACAATATTAATTACTTTTTTCCCTTCCAATTGTATCTTTTAATTAATATTACTTTCATCACTCCCAATTCAATACCTCCCATTTTGCCTTTATTGTGAAAGCACCAATACAAGAATAATTGACCCATTTCAATTTTCAATACAATATTAATTACTTTTTTCCCCTTCCAATTGTATCTTTTAATTAATATTACTTTCATCACTCCCAATTCAATACCTCCCATTTTGCATTTAGTAAAAATACTATTCTTTCTCTTTCAGTTATACACTTTTCTCAATCTGTATGAATTTGTCAACCAAGTCAGTTAGTTTGGGACAGAGGCAATGTTTTTTTTTAACCACCAAAATATTAAAATTGTATTTTGACGTCTCTTAGTATTTTTGGTTATGATCATCATCTTAGGTCTGCACAGCTTGTAACCTTTTCATATCCTGCTAAACAATAATATTGTTTATCACAAGAGCATGCTTCTTTATGAGTAAAGTTACAGAAATCAGTCTTTTCATTTTCCAATTTTTTTAAAGTATTTAAGATTGAGTTTCTGTGTGATATTTCATTCACATGTGGAGTTTGCACGGTAAACTCTACAAGTGTAAGATCATGGGAGAATTTGGAAAGGCAGATGAAAGTAAAATAATTTGATGAATTGAAAACCACCACCAATCTATTTGCTGTCGTCTGGTATCATAGAACTGCTTTCTGACCAGCACCTTTAATTTCTTTTAAATTTGGGAAAGAGATTTTTTTTTTAAAATAACAGTGGTACTACTGACCATTTTACAACTGCTCCTTCCATGTGAGATTTGAACCATGTCCTTTAAGGTTCCAGAGTCAAACTCTTAACACCTCTTGGTTAATAGTACCTTTGATTCAAATTCAATACAACATTTCACAAACTAGACTAAAAATGCATCCTCGTGGATGGAAAATACACGCATAGCTGTTCATGATTTGTGTTTATAAGTTAAAATTGTGCTCTTTACCTAAATCACCCCATACATTTAGGTATGGCAGTGTACAATGACGCTCCCCACTCTCCACATCTGTCTTTTTTGTTTTCTACCTTTTAAGTGATCTCTTATTCCTAATATTTATGCAATATCCTATGTTCAACATGTTGAGGCTTATAGCTTGCTCTTCTGTGATTTGATTTTGAAAAGCTATAACCCAGCAAAAGTTGTGCCACCATCAAATATTTCAGTTTGAACATACTTTTATAGCATTTTATAAATTATTTTTCTTGCAGTACTGTTTCTTTCAAGTAGATAAATATGTTTCATTTTGAGATGTTTTATATATTTTAATCAACTGTTTTTGCCCTGCAAATCTCTATACTTGCTCTTTTTAATTTTTTATTTATTTTTACATTAGGATTAGTATGTGGTATCCATACAACAAATATGACCCTAAAAAAATTGAAAATTCAGTATGTTGTATCAATACTATTGGTATTTTGCAATTAACACCTTAGCTTTCTACCATTGTCCCTTCAGGATAAATACATGCAGAACAGGCTTGTGAGACTTGTTTGTGTTTTCCTGCAAAGCCTGATTCGAAACAATATTATAAACGGTTAGTTTATCCTGTTTTTCTCGAAGCCTGAAAACTCTTGATCGGATTAAAATTTTAATTCCATTATTACTAGTATCATTAAAATATTTGTTAGTATTCTCAGTCTGTATATTAATTGACTGATACATAAAAAAGAGGAATGAGAATTTGGCTGCAACTCAATTATATTTGTTGATGATTCTATGTTGCAGTTAAAGATCTGTTCATTGAAGTTCAAGCGTTTTGCATCGAGTTTTCGCGGATTAGGGAGGCAGCTACGTTATTTAGACTTCTCAAGTCATTGGAATGAGTGATCTGTTAGCCTGTTATTTTCTAATCCTTTCATGTCAAGACTTGTCTGTAGATATGTCCTGCCTGATCTTGGTAGTGCAATTGTTTACTTTCTCATTATGGAAATTAAAGATCATCTTTACCTTTACTTACATTTAGTTAAGGTTAAATTAATGATTTTTATTTCTATGAGATTAAATTAATGAGTCAGAATGACATAGAAAGATCCTTGTAACTTATATCTAATTTTCAAGTAAGTCATTGTGGGATAAGTGTTAATACTTATGTTTCATGGACCTGTTCTAATCACAATGTGAAACCTGAGTTGAGGCTGTATCGTTCCTCTTTCACTAAACTGCAGTTCTTCAACAATGAAATTTAGTGTGGAGGGAAAAAGATATTGAGAACAAAAATGAATGAGAAAAATAAATAGAAAGATAGAAATAGATTTTAGTTTTAGAGAGGATACTGAAAAGGGATTGTTGGAGAGGATATATAAAGTGATAATCTGAACTCTCTTCGATTTTATTTATTAGCAAAAAATTTCTAAACTTTTTGGCCTTAACAAATCTAGATTTATTTAATGTTTTTATTTCAATTTTTTTTTTGTATTAATTATTTAATATTGTTGTGGATGATAATTTAATTGAGAGTATATTAGATAGTAATTGTGTTATTTCTCTTATGGAATCAAGAAAATTAAATGAACTTAATTATCTTTAAAAAAAAAAGTGAAATGTGTTTTTTTTAATTTATAAATCAGGCTTTAATTATGTATGACTATTTCTCTTTCTGTTTTATATATAAGAGAATATTTTGATTTCATTTAAATGAGAATTTTCAAATTTTCAAAATTTAAAGTACTTTTATCCTTTCTATTTAAAATATTAGTGAGTGCATTTAATCTGTTATAATTTTTCTAAAAGGGTATATAAATAAAAACATTCAAAAAAGAAAAACAACAATAAATGCATTTATTACTCATATTCTAAATATATTCATAATCAACCCTCTAGCTTGCACTTTGTTTTCATTTTCATATAAAAGATCAATGAGGAACTTTACTCCAATTGGTATGAGATTTTTTCTCAGTTCCTTATAAAAGAAAACAAAAGTACTTCTCTTGTTCATCTAGCGAAGTTGAGTATAAATCACTTGCATCTGTTAGATTCAATGTCTAATGTATCTTAAAGTTTCTTGTCCTTGGATTGATAACCAAAGTGTCTTGCATATTACTGTTATTACTTGTTAAAAACTTCCTAAGTTAAACAAAAAGTCACGACACTTGGAAATCACAAAAATTTGTAACACCCTCCATCATAAATATTCTACATAATTGTACAAAGCGAATGAAGAAAAAGGGCTAGAAAAAAACACATATCATACCCAATATCTCTTTTCTAGTACATGTAATATAATGACTAAATTCATGGTGTGTCTAGACCCTGAATATGAATAATAGTCCCTAACCAATACCATAAAATGAAAAACTTCTAAACCGCTCCAGAAACTGTTCTACTGCAACTGTAACTTTGCCATGACCATAATCAAGACCAGCCAAATGGATCTTCCTTGTAGAGTTGAGCTAGCTGATAAACCAAAAAACAAATGTATTATCACATGGAAAATGTACCGCGTATTGAAGAATAAAAGTGATTTTCCATTACTTTAGTTGTTATATACTCTGCTAAGTTTATTTACTTTCCTAAATCAAAGTTCAACTTTTGTTTAGAAAAAACCAAATTATGAAATGAATTGCTGACATAGCACTGCAACTGAGAGTTGCGACGTTACCTTCACTCTTACTGTCCTCATTCAATGCTGGTGGCGGAGAAGATGCTGATGATGAATTTGTCACTGATATTCCAAGGTCAGAGCAACCCATGCCAAGAGCACCTTCAACACAGATTAAAAATCCCAAGTTATTAAAAATCACGGTGTATATGAGTTAAATTCGTGATCGAGCCTTGTAATCTTACATTCTCTGAAGCAAGGAAAGGTAGTGACATTGAGGAGATTTTTATAGCTTGCTTCACATTCACAACTATAGCTGAACCTCGATGTCTTCTTGCACGAGCCGCCTCCACAATCAACCCAATGGCAAGCTAAAAGAACGTATGAACAAAATGTTATAATAGCAGGTAAAAAATCAAACAGAAAATTGAGATCCTTATGGTTATATCATTGAGTTACCATCAAATATCGACTCGTTGGCTTTTCTTGCCTTTTCTGGAGCAGGGGCAGGAGCTTTGGAGCAAGAGTAGTCCAATGTACCTAGAATTGGTATCATTTCAACATATCAAGAAAATTTCTAGAATCAAGCAAGAAAAGTTTGGTAAAATTTCCACCTCTTTTGTTGTTAGTTGGTTCCTTTGTTTTAAACATTTCACCAAATAACATGGACCTTTTCAATAACAAAAAGTTGCAACTAAAACACGCATCATCTCAAGAAAACACACCACATAACTGCTTTTTCTTTGCATAGTTCGAATAAACAACTTAATTAAGTGCTTATAGCATAAGTGCATAAGTATAGTAACATATTTTTACAACAAACGACAAAAACATGTTTTTGAGATGTCATAAGTTGTTTGTATACACTCTTGAACAATGTTTATCTCGGTAGATAAACTCAAATAAGTCAATTCAGATACATACAGAATCAAAAGAGAACGGTAACATACATAGTGAATAGTTTTTGTCAATTCTTACAATTAGGAATGATGCAAGGAAGAAACTTCAAGCCACCATCATCATTGGAATCAAAAGCTTTCTTCCAACCTTTATCACACTCACATTCAAACGGAATAACACTATTCTTAGAAGCTTTGCATGTTCCTTTCCCACACTCCACTTCCTTGCACACATCATCTAAACACAAAACAAAACAAAACATATATCAAACCAATCCAGAAATCCCAAACTACACACATCATATAAAAAAAAGCTAAAAACTTGAGATGACCCTTTTGATCACACTTCACGAAATCACAAAACCCACAAATTAAAATCAACAAAAGAAAGCATCTCACCAAAGATAGGAGAAATCAAAGGAGAAAGCAAGTCACTTTTAGCCAAAAGTGGTTGAAGAACAAGAAATGCAAAAAGAGCTATAACACTTGTAAAAGCCATTTGTAATTCTACTAAAAAGCGATTATCAACAAAACTTAGATGTGGGGACTCTATATAAATGACTAGTTCTTAGTTAGGCAAGTTTGAAAAATCAAACATTTTTTTAATATAGGAATAGGAATTTAAGGTAGAACGTGGCTATATCTAAGAGGGATGTGTGTCCATAAAATGAGAACAGTGAGTCGTTGGTAGTTGAGTTTTGACAAATCTACTAGGTTGCGTTTGAAGTTCGGGTAATGGAACCAATTGTGATGGTGCACGTAGTTACAGCCATTAAGGTTGTTTTTTTGGGTCATGCAACCGACCTATGTTTGATGTGGGTGGATAATAATGTTGGAAAAAGTCAACGTTTTTATTTTATTTTATTTATGGTTAAATCTATACCAGTATTTGCAATTTTTTATTATTTTATTGTTGTTAACGTTTACTCTTCCAAGTTTCAACTTTTTTTGGCGTATTAAGAACTTTATTATGAGAATTTTTTTGGTCAATATACAATATCAATATTTCAAGCTATAATAGGAACTTCTATTTCAAAACCTTTACTTCGTCAATTAGCCCATCTTTTCAATAAAATCATTAAATAAAAATGTTTAAAATTTTAATGAATATAAAAAATATATGGTGTTTTTTGGATTTAAATATTGTAGGCATGATTCTTTAAAGTGTTAGAGATAATTGAAGATTGAGTGGAGTTTTAATGTATTGGAGTGAGTTTTTGGTACATTAGAGTGAATATGCAATGTTAGTATTTTAATGTCTGATTGAGTGAATGAATGTATGTAGTGTTAGCATTCTAATGCGATTGAGTGAATGAATGAAAAAATAATTTGTGTGTGTGAATAAACGAATAATTGAAATAACATGCGTTATACAAACTGTCAATTAAAATTGTCTCTATGAGATTCAACACCTTATGTGGGTGATCGTTCGATCAAATCCAACGATATAAGTTTTGCTGGAGGACGAAATTGTAAGTTATAAGTGTGTCTGAGTGAGTGAGAGAGAGAGAGAGAGAGAGAGAGAGAGAGAGAGAGAGAGAGAGAGAGAGAGAGAGAGAGAGAGAGAGAGAGAGAGGTTGAATTAGGACTTTTAAAATTTTATCTGATTTTTGTATGGTGCAACTTTCGTTTCTTGTTTGATGTGATAAGTGATGAAAGGTGTAAATGCGAAAAATAAAGAACATTGAGAATTATTCCGATTTCTCTCACAATTCGAGAGTACTCCAATCCCCTTACGCAATAAAGATTTCAATATTGTCAAAACTTTTGTACAAGTTTAATCTAGACTTCGATACACTGGGTTCTAATCTAATCACAAAAAACAATCCACTTGTGATTTACAACTTGGGAAAAGAAAACAATCCTTCTTTTTCTTACACCCTTATTTCCAACAATCCTAGACAACAAGTATAACAATCACACAATATTATATCCAATAATCCTGAAAAAATAAGATGCTGATATAATAATTAATTTTGAGTAGAATAAGTTTGATAAATTAAATGGTGTATGTAGGACTTCTTCTCTTTCAAATATGGAAGTTCTTTATCATAAACTCTCTAAGTGCTTAATGATGCTTTTAGAATGATATGCACGTTTTTCAAAAAGCATCTTGTTGAGAATAATATAACAAGTGTGAGTTGGAGTCCCACATTGGTTATAATTGTGGAGAGTTACACCCATCACCTTAAGGTTGTTGGGGGATGTTTTTCACCAGGGAGCATTGAACATTGGGTCAAGAGCAACACAAGTGAGACTGACACCACATTATCACCTAAAACCTTAAGGTAATAGGTGTATGGGTTCTCCCATTTATAATGCTCAACTCTCCATATTTATAACCAATGTGAGACTCTAACTCACACTTGATATATTATTCTCAACACTCCCTCTCAAGTGTGAGTCCACAATACTCCCCCTCAAGTGGAAACTCTTTTATCCATATTTATTTGTACCGCCGTTGACACCACTTTCTTGGGCATTTCGATACACCTCTTCTCAGGTGTTGCACCCCAAAATTTGACCAACAATTATTTATTCATTGAGTATTTGAAAGTTGATACCTTCATCAGACAGTTCAAGAGATCTTCAGAGGAATTGGTTGGAACCAGGGTTGTGTGCTTCATAGCTTGAGAGTTGTGGGTGCTCCTCAGATGATTCTGAGACTTTGAGAATGAACTTGAAGTTTTGAGAAAGCTTATGAGATGTCTTGATAGCCATCATGAAGCCCATAGAAGTCATTATGCAAGGACTCAGAAGATTCAACCATGAATGGTAGAATTAGGGTTTTGACTGGGTCAACCCTAGATCAGCTGAAGATTTGGAGAAGGTTGAGACCTAATCCAAGGGCCATGAGATCATGGAAGGATGCATAGAGATGTTATAAAGATGATTCCTAGACCAACTCATCATGATTGAGGAGTTTGAGAAGTCTTGAGTTAGGGTTTCCAAGGATTGTCAGTGAGAAAACCCTAATTTGATCCCTATTTTCCAGGCAGTTTTAGCTCTAGATGTGATTGATATCTCACCTTCCCCCACAACATGAATGTTGTAGAGCTTGTTCTTAGCTTTAATTTGAGTGGTGGAAGTCCTTGATAGGAGTTACAGAGCTCAAGTTATGGTTTTGACAAATTACAGGTCAGCTGAGGTGTGTGAATCTGGGTCCTTGAAAGTCACCCAACTTGCAGACAACTTTTGCCCTAGTAGGATGATTCCTATGATTTCTTGGTCAACATGAACGTTGAAGAGGATCTTCTTAGCTTTAATTTGAGTGGTAGAAGTCCTTGATTGGATTTGTGGAACTCAACTTATGGTTTGAACAAGACATGGGTATTTTGGTCATTTGTCAGTTATAGGTCATTTTAGCCAATGCCTAAAACTCCTATTTCCAAGCCTCAAATGGAAAAACTCAAAACATGAAAGTTGCTCAAAATGTGATTTTAAGTCTAGAAAGAAGGTCACAAATTGTTGGAAAAGCTCATGGCACAAGATTACATGATTGGTCAAAAATGAACTAAAAATGGCTTATAACTTTGAAAAGTTGAAATTGAAAAGTGATTTGGGAGATCCACAAATCCAAAATAGGTCATCCAATATATCATTTTGATTGGAAAAACCATTTTGAGAACATTGGTTTAGCTAGAATTTTCATTTGAGGTCTAAAAATGGGTGATGCTTTGAAAAGTCATTACTTGAAAAAGAAGGCAATGTTGGAAAACTTAACATAAGCCAAAAATGAACTTGTTTTTCACTCATCCCTTCTCAATAACTCATGTAAGGGTATTTTAAGGCAAAATTGCAAGGCATAACATGTGAGATATGAGATAACCAACTTGTCATCACATGAGAATTTCAAGAAGTTTCCATCACATTCTAGATAAATCTAGACACATCCAATGATTATTATAAGAAGGATGGTCCTCATAGTATTCAGGGTTGGTGATAGAGAGTCAAGTCAGAGGAGAAAGAGAGAGATACATTTCCATTGAAGAGGTTTCTTCAAGTTGAAGCAACTTGAGTTTTCTTCCACTACAAGCCATCTCCACTATCACAAGTGCAAACAGAAGGTTGAGGATCATTCAAGGAACATCTTGAACCAATTCCAAGGTCTGCAAACATCCCCACGAGCCCTCACCATCATCCCTTTGACAGGTTCTTTCTTCTCCTTGTATCTCTTAATTTAATGGCTTTCTTTTAGCTTTATAGGTATAGAATGAATGCATTAGGATAGATGACCAAACACTGAAGGTTAGGGCACGATCCATGAAGGTTTGTGACAGGTGCATAAATCTTTGATGTGCAAGAATGAACTGTGTGCTAGGCTTTAATCAGCATGGCATGGATTATATTGATTAGGGTGGCATAGGGAACAAGATTGCAGCTTTAGTTTTGAGTTTAATTAGGGTTGATCTCAGTTGATTTCATTTGAACCATGGTCTGGATGCCTTCTGTTAGAATTATCTAGGGCGAGTTATGGAAAGGTGAGCGCATGGCTGTGTTCTAGGCATTTAGTAGAGCATTTTTTGTTTTGGAATCTTGTTGAATCATGGCGTGTGGAGAGAGATAGAGGAGCTCGAAGATTTGAGTGCATGGGAGAGGGTTCTGAAAACCCTAGGTTGTGATTGGGACGATGAAGGAGGGCCATTGGATCAGTCTCCATATTTGACAAATTCATTAGATCCAATGGCCGTGGTTTAATCTGAGAGTTGGAGGGAAGATTTAAATAAATGAAACGCAGCCGTTTCATTAAACCGGTTCTGGGCTTAGTTTTCTATTCGCCCCCCCCTCTTTGCTGGCCCATTTATTTTGAACTAGCGAGAATTGCTTTTCATACCCCCCTCCTTTCATTTAATTTAAATTGTTTTATTTTCTTTCTTTTATTTTTTCTGTTTTGTTTAATTCATTAAAAATTGATAAAAAATGATTTTTTACTTCTTCTTTTTTCTATGATTAGATGAAAATGTGTAGAAAACTATAAAAATAAAAATAGGATTTTATTCTTAAGTTTAGTATTTTAATAGATTTTTCTTTTAAAATAGCTTTTATATTGTTTAATTTTATATCATGATTTTGTAGGAATTATTTTAGGACCTTCCCTTAGGGTTTCTTAATCCATTCTTTTTTGTGCAATTAGATATTGAATCATATTTCCCCATAGGATTTTTTCTAGATTTTTAGAATTAAATTTTGATTAGTTTAATTAGGGTAGACTTAGGGTATCCTGATTAGGGTTTAGATTGTGTTTAGGTGATGAATTCCTTTCTTTGATTAAGTTTTGTCTTGATTTTTAGGTAGAGGCCTATGTAGATGTTATGGGTAGGTGTTGAGGACCCTTTGTGAATAATTGTTAGATTTTTCCCCATTGGTTTAGCATTTTTAGGTATTTTCTGAAGTTGCCTATTGCTTTTGTCTGCCCTGTGGTCATCTGTTCATCTCTGGGGTTTGTTGTGGGGAATCTGTTGAGGGGCTTGTGTTTCCTTGAAGATCTTGTTGGAGAGC